GTAAAGTAACCAAAAAAAGTTGTAATACAATGACTTTTTTTCCTTTTTTAAGACTTTGGTTGATGAAATATATATGTTATTTGCTAGATTTTATTAGACCTAACACTTTTAATTGGTTAGTATTCGCTTTAAAACTTGAAAGGAAAGGTTTTATAGCTTTTTTTATATAACTTTTCTTTAGATATATAATAGTTTTCAACTATTATATATTCTAAAAAGCAGCAAAAATTTTCCTTGTAATATTGAAAAAATTTGAGCGACAGTAAAATGTGCTATTAGAAACAAGACAGAATGGATGTCAGGTTGACTACAATCGTGTTTCGTTGAAAAAGAATTGAATTCTAAACGTAAAGTAACTAAAACAAATTGTAATAAAATGGTTTTTTCTCTTTTTTTCGACTGCAGTTTCTAAAAGTAAGTGATATTTGCTAGATTTTATTAAACATAAAACTTTTTATTTGTTAGTATACGATTCAAAACTTGAAAGAAAACATTTTTTAGCTTTTTTTGTATAGCATTTCCTTTAATATATAATAGTTTTCAAACTATTTTATAATCTAGAAAGCAGCGAAAATTTTTTTAAATATATTGAAAAAATTTAAGAGAAGTTAAAAAGTGCTATTAGAAACAAGAAAGTATAGATGTCAGGTTGATTACAATCGAATTTTGTTGAAAAAGAGTTGAGTTCTTCACGTAAAGTAACAAAAAAAAGTTGTTACAAAATGACATTTTTCCTTTATTTAGACTTCAGTTGATGAAATATAAATGTTATTTGCTAGATTTTAATAGACCTAACACTTCTTCTTGGTTAGTATACGCTTTAAAACTTGAAAGAAAACGTTTTATAACTTTTGTTAAATAGCACTTTTTTAAAAATTTTATAGTTTTTAACTACGATTTAATATAGATAGTAGCACAAATTTCTTTCCAAATATATTAAGACATTTTTAGCAAAAGTAAAAATGTGCTATTAGAAGCATAACAGAATAAATGTCAGGTTTACTACAATCGAGTTTCGTTGAAAAAGAATTGATTTCTTCACGTAAAGTAACCAAAAATGTTATAATTGAATGATTTTTTCCCCTTTTTTTTTAACCGCAGTAGTCCGAATATAATTAATGTTTGCCAAATTTTTTCGAACTTAACACTTTTTATTTGTAAGTATACGCTTTAAAGCTTGAAAGAAAACGTCTTATAACTTCTGTTAAATAGCACTGTTTTAGATTTTTTATAATTTTTAACTACGATTTAATCCAGAAAGTAGCGAAAATTTCTTTTTAAATATATTAAATATTTTTAGCGACATTACAATTTGCTTTTAGAAACAAGACAGAATGGATGACAGGTTGACTATTGATGTTAATGAGTTTTATAATATGGGAAATATTAACATACTTAAACTATATTTGAGATGCAAAAAAATAAAATGAATTGAGTACTTTCATTTAAGTAGAAAAAGACTTGATGTGTTGGGTATATTTATTTAAATCAAAAGGGATTTGATAAATTATGTATTTTTATTCAAATAGAAAAAGATTTGATGTGTAAAGTACTTTTATTTATAAAGAAAAAGATTTGATTTGTTAGGTACTTTCGATTAAACGAAAGAAATATAATTATTTGGGTAATTTTCTTTAAATGGAATGATAATAAACAAGTTCAGTACTATTATTTAAATGTAAAGAGATATAATTTGTTGATTACTTTCTTTTAAATAGAACAGGATTAGATGAATTGAGTTTTTTTATTTAAATGGAAAGAGTTTTCTTGAGTTGAATACTTTCTTTCAAGTTACCAGAGATTTATTGCGTTAAGTACTTTACTTTAAATAGAAAAAGAATTGATAGGTTAAGTTTTTTTTTCAAAACTAAAAAAATTGGTTAAGTCAAGTACTTTCATTTTAATTAAAAGAGATTAGATATGCTTAGTACTTTTAGTAAAACGGAAATGTTTGAAATAAGGCTAGCAATTTCGTTTTAATGAAATGAGTATAAATAAGTTTAGTACTTTCATTTAAATAGAAAGAGAATTATTAGGCTGCGTACCTTTTTTTAAATAGAAAGATATTTTATGTATTTAGTACTTTTATTCAAATGAAAAAAGTTTAAATAAGTTGATTAGTTTCATTCAAATAAAAAGTGATTTAATGAGTTAAGTACTTCTGTTCAAATAGAGAGGGTATAAATGAGTTAAGTACTTTCATGCAAATGGAAAGAAATTTAATTGGTTAAGTACTGTTATTTAAATAAAAAAAGGTTTAATGAGGAAAATACTTTCATTTATGTAAAAAGAGATTTAAGAATTTTAGTACTTTTACTCATATGGAAAGAGACCTAA